TGATACTGAGCTCCTGGGTCTTTATATGTTTATTACACAGTGATTAGTATTATAATCATTTTGTATGACTTCTTCCCTTCTAAGTTGTATTCTTGAGGGCAAGGAGTATTATTTATGTACCAACATCTTGTAGGTATTTATTGGAATGAATGAAGGTATTTTATTTTACTACATTAGTTGTGTTTAACTTAGGATTCATCTAGGCAAGAAGGATTTTGCTTTTCCTTTATTATCCATTTGGTTAACTGACCAAATATATATTGGCTTTGATATCTAAAAGTATTAACATTTCCTTGTTTTTCTCTTTCTTCAGATGAACAATGTTTTGAGACAGATGTCATATGGTGGAAAATTTGGTTCTCCGCCTCTGGATCAGTCAGGATTTTCACCATCAGTTCAATCACATAATCATACTTTTAACCAGTCTTCAAGCTCTCAATGGCGCCAAGATACAACATCATCACAGCGTAAAGTCAGACAGAATTCTCATCCCTACCTAACAGATAGACATTATAGCCGGGAACAGCGTTACAGTGATCATGGGTCTGACCATCATTACAGAGGAAGCAGAGAAGATTTCTTCTATGAAGATAGGAATCACGATGGCCGGAGCCATGACTATGATAACAGAAGAGACAGTAGTAGAGATGGAAAATGGCGTTCATCTCGACACTAACAAGTGTTAAAAAGACACTCCTTGTAGCGTCGTTTTAGGCCCTTTGACTCAGTTGATCCGAAAATAATTTTGTTGAAAAACTGTACAGAGCAGCTTCAGAAGCTGACACATTTCTTTATAAATTTTTTAAAACATAGTTACAATTTAATGCAGAAATGAGAAGGATTGTGGTTCCAGTTTTATTAATAACCTTTCACCTCAGGGTTTTATAAAGAGGAATGAGTTTTATGCAAAAGAAAATCATTTTAGACACTTTAGGAAGGGGTGAATTATATAGATTCATTGTATGATAAAGCAAATATTTTAATTATTTGTTATCTTTTTGTATTGCAGGAAATTTCTTGTTAGTCAGATTTTGGTGTATATAATAGTAAACGTACAAGCTGATACTCTGAAATGGCTATTGGTATTTTGTTAATAGAAAATACAACTTTTCAGTGATTCATTTTACTAACATTTGAAAAATGTTATTTGGTGAACTTATTGGTAATCTTTGGGGATAAATCATATTGCTTAACTTCTTAGAGAATTTAAGTATAAATTCTGTGACATTCTATTGAGTTTTACCCTAGTTAAACATACAAGTGTAAATCTAAACATACTGTTTCATTCTAAAATTTTAGAATTTGTTCATTATGTTTGTATGATTGAAGTCACTCAGGAAGTTAAATATCTCTGTGTGTACATTTTTACATTGAAAATACAGTGTTAGTATAAATCCCCCTTTTCAGGAAAAACAAAAATGTCAATGTATGGTCAGACAAAATGGTAAAATGTTTTACTGGAAGTATACTTTTTTGGAAAAAAGATTCATGAAGCCTGTAGGTGCTGCCTCTGTCACTCAAACTTTAAAAATTTTAACATTTTCAAAGTGCCCACCACGTATATATAAGAACACATTTTATGGAGATTGTACAGGTTGCTTTTTTGTTTAAATCTTTGAAAGAATTTAGTCTTAACATTTTCTGATTTTAAAATTTTAAAATCTTGTTTAAGGAAACTTTTGTGTATCAAGATACTGTTCTCCTTTCATTGCAGAGTTTATAAAAATTCATTCCTTGAAAAATATGGATCCTTTTTAATACTACAACATTTGTACTATGTTACTTTTTAATATATTAAAAACATAAAAGGAGGAGTGTGTCTTATTTTTGTAACATCACTACAGAGACATTGCATACAAAAAAAAATTAGCAACATACTTTATTCCATGATTGCTAGGTGTTAAGAATGGTAGTTCTTTAACTTAGAGCATCCTGACATACATCTTTTGTACATATCAAACCTGATGTTTCAGAATTAGATTTTCAGTGATTCTGAATTATAGTTTTATAGATTCCTGATTATAGTTTGGTGCACTGTAAACTAATTTAGTCACCTCCCCTGGTCTCTAGTAGGAGTTTACATTCACTCAGATTTTGTTTCTAAATGCATCTAGTTTTTCTTTAGGTAAATGGAGCTATTCAGCTACTCAGCATAGAGTTAGGAAAAAAGTTCTATTTGCTCAAGCAGTTTAGTAGTAGGATTTGTTTCTGATGAGTCTTATTTTAAGTTACCTATGAAAACTTAGGTTTGTAGATACTAACAAAGTTTAATACTACTTTATTATAACTTATCTATAGGTGAGCTTCTTTCATACTGGTTCGCAGGTGATCTTAACTCAGAATAATCTTTCTAGGGGGAACCTTGTGAAAGTCCCAGTGAATTTTTTCCACGTTAGCTTCACTCAGTTGAAAGTAACCAAACTAAATCCATGTATTGTGTAAATGAATAGAACAGCACAGCCTTAAAAAATTGAATACAGTTGGTGAGACAACTCAGATATCTAAGTACAGGTTGAATATCCGTTACCCAAAATAGTTGGAACCAACAGTGTTTTGGATTTTGGAATATTTGCATTATACTTACTTGTTAAACATCCCAAGCCCAGAAATCCAAAATGCTTCAATGACCATTTCCTTTTCTTAGAGCATTTTGGATTTCTGGATTTGGGATGCTCAACCTGTACTGAGAGCTACAAGAAAAGAAAGGAATAAGAAATTACTGTTGCGAGAGAGCAGTTTCTCTTAGAGCAGCAGTCCCCAGCCTTTCTGGCTTCAGGGACCCGTTTCATGGAAGACAATTTTTCCACGGATCAGAGATTGGGGGGATGGTTTCAGGATGATTCAAGCACATTACATTTATTGTGCAATCAAACGTCTCTGCTAATGTTAATCTGTATTTGCAGCCTCTCCCCAGCGCTGGCATCACCACCTCAGCTCCACCTCAGGTTATCAGGCATTAGATTCTCGTAAGGAGTGAGCAACCTAGATCCCTCGCATGCACGGTTTGCAGTAGGGTTCGAGCTCCTATGAGAATCTGATGCCCCCACTAATCTGACAGGAGGCAGGGCTTATGCGGTGATGTGAGCAATGGGGAGCAGATGTAAATACAGATGAAGCTTTGCTCGCTCACCTGCTGTGTGTCCCGATTTTCTAACAGGCCTTGGACCAGTACTGGCTCTGGGATTGGGGACCACAGTCCTAGAGTGTTTTCCATGGAACGCTAGTCTTATAAAATAAGAATTCTTTAATTAAATGCTTGGAAGACATTGTGTATTAATAATGTGTGACTTTCTCTTTGAGAGTCAACAGCACTATTAAGTTTTGACAAGTACCACGGCAAAGAAATCTCTTTATACTTAATATGTTCCACTGTTCCCCATCCAAAATAAAAAATTTTTATACTACTAATTATGTTGTGTATGCCCACTTTCCCCGTAGTCACTGCTGCCATCCTAGAGTGTGCAATTTATCTTGAGGGGATTACTCCATCACCCTGCTTCCAGTCTTCATTCTTCAAATTTCATTCCACAATGCAAGAATTGCCAATGTTAATCTGCTATGACTCACGTGAATTAAAGCTTCAATGGCCTCTGGCTTCCTCTTGATGAAAGACAAAATTCTTAACCTAATATGACCCCTCACTATTGCTTCAGTCTCCTCTCATCACTTTACCCCCTCTTTAGCCCTGGTCATAACTCTCCTTCACTCCATCATCCTTGGCTGACATTTCTGCCTATGAGTTCCCATCCTATGAGCTCCACCCTGCATGGCATCACATTAATTACCTGGCATTTGCCAGAGGATTTCTTTTCCCAACTTTTATAACAGTTTCATGAATGTTTGAAGAAAACTTGTTTTCTCTGTGCCAAAATTGTGTCTTTACAAAATGCTTTCTTACCTGACAAGATTTGTAAGTCAGAAAGATTGAGGAGTCCTTTAAAAAAATTACAATTAAAATTATATGCATTTTCTTTTAATACATATAAATAGACGTTCATTTACCAGTCTTT